CCTAGACCCTTCATCAGATGAAGGGTCTAGGCCCGAAACGTCAGCCTTTCTGCTCCTATGATGCTGCTTGGCCTGCTGTGTTCATCCAGCCCTGCACTTCATTTGAATACAGAACTGGTTCAAAGGTAGGACACAGAGGGTGGTGGTGGAGAGTTGCATTTCAGACTGGAGGCCTGTGACCAGCGGTGTGCTGCAAGGATTGGTACTGGGTCCACTGCTTTTTGTCATTTATATAAATGATTTGGATGTGAATATAGGAGGTATGGTTAGTAATTTTGCAGTTGACACCAAAATTGGAAGTGTTGTGGACAGCCAAGACCGTTACCTCACAGTACAATGGGATGAGGAATGGCAGATAGAGTTGAATTTAGATAAATGTGAGGTGCTGCATTTTGGAAAGGCAAATCAGGGCAGGACTTATACACTTAATGGTAAGGTGTCCTGGAAAGTATTGCTGAACAAAGAGAACTTGGATGCAGGTTCATAGTTACTTGAAAGTGGAGTTGCAGGTAGGCAGGATAGTGAAAAGGGCATTTGATATGCTTGTCTTTATTGGTGAGTGCATTGAGTATAGGAGTTGGGAGGAGGTCATGTTGCGGCTGTACAGGACATTGGTTAGGCCACTTTGGAATACTGCGTTCAATATCATAGGAATTAAGTTGTGAAACTTGAAAGGGTTCAGAAAAGATTTACAAGGATGTGGCCAAAGTTGGAAAATTTGACCAATGGGGAGGGGCTGAATAGGCTGGGGCTATTTTCTGTCGAGTGTTGGAGGCTGACATGTGACCTTACAGAAGTTTATAAAGTCATGAGGGGCATGGATAGAGTAAATAACCAAGGTCTTTCCCCTATGATAGGGAAGTCCAAAACTAGAGGGCACAGGTTTAAGGTTAGAGGGAAAGATTTAAAAGGGACATAAGGGGTGACTTTTTCACATAGAGGGTGGTACATGTATGGAATGAGCCGCCAGTTGAAGTGGTAGAGGCCGGTACAATTACAACATTTAAAAGGCATCTGAATTGGTATGTGAATAGGAAGGGTTTAGAGGGATACCAGCTAAATGCTGGCAAATGGGACTAGATTAATTTAGGATATCTGGTTGGCATGAATGAGTTGGACCAAAAGGTCTGTTTCGATGCTATGCAGCTCTATGACTCTATAACTGTTAAATGATCACATCACAGGAAACCATTCAGCCTATTGTGTCTGTGCTGGCCCCTACAAGAACAATTTACCTCATCCCACACCAGCACCTTTTCTATGCAACCCTACAATTGTTCTCTTTTCAGATGTTGATCTAAATCCCTCTTTAAAGCCTCGATTGAATCTGCCTCCACTATGATCACCTTAAATCAGGATCTTGTTCCTTCCACCACTAGAACAGTTTGCTTCATCCAACAGTTTGTCTCATGCGGCTTTCTGGGCCCAAGATGTTAACTCTGCTTTCTCTCCACAGATGCTGTCAGACCTGCAGAGTTTTCCCAGCAATTTCTGTTTTTGTAGCTCTAGTTCAAATTTGATTAAATTTAGATGAACTTAAAAACTTATCAAAAAACATACCCCTGTGCCTCCTTGTCCTGTGATCTCCCTTCACTTCTGGAGTAGCCCAATTGTTCAGAATTCTGGCTGTGACTGACTCGGTTATTCCCACAAGATCAATACATTAATAGACAGGGAATAGACACAAGACTGATACATGAATAGGCCGGGAATAGAAGGATACAGATCATGCAGATACAAGAAGTTTTTTTAGTTTAGAAAGGTGCCATGTGTTGGCACAGGCTTGGTGGGCTGAAGGTCATGTTCCTATGCTGTTTGTTGTTCTTTGACCTCCCACAGACCCATGCCTGTCCTGTGTTTAAATCCAAAACAACCCTGTCTATCTGGAGTTTAACTCTCTCAGAACTACATCAGTCTTGGGCTAAACTGTGGCTTGTTTCTACTATTATACCTCATGCAGGCTGGACAAGAAGCCAGACGAGAAGCTGGAGAGCCCAAATCGTTTCTCAATGGTAACGATGCTGCTTTTGAAGTAGGCACTGTACAGGAGCTGGGAACACTGCAGCATTCCATGGCACAGAACAAACAGCTGAAAAGAAGAAGGAACAATAGTTAGGGGACCCTGTCTGCAACAATTTCTCAACCTTCAAAGCATCTTCAAATGTAAGTGTTGTTAAAAATTAGTCCAAGTATAGATAAAGTATCCTGAAGCCATTGTTGCGTGACAAGCATAGAATCCCTACAGTGTTGAAGCAGGACATTCAGTCCATCGAGTTCACAACGATCCTCTCAAGAGCATTCAATCCAGATCCAACCCCTAACCTATCCCTGTACCCCTGCATCTTCCATGGCTAATCCACCTAGCGCGCACATCCCTGGACACTATGGGCATTTAGCATGGCCAAACCACCTAACATGCTCTTTTTTGGAATGTGGGAGGAACTCATGCAAACATGGGGAGAATGTGCGAACTCCACACAGACAGTTGCCCAAGGTTGGAATCGAATCTGGGTCCCTAGCACTGTAAGGTAGCAGTGCTAACCACTGTGCTGCCCACAAATTGAGACTTGCCCCCTAAGCATTTGGGAACATTTACTTTTATTGATTTCACATAAAGCAAGAGTGAGATTCTACAATTGGTACTTCAGAACTGAGACCTTATAGTATAAGTAGTTAGCAACATAAGCATTATTTCCACCCTGTCGTGTAAACCACCACCAAAAGGACAGAAGCAGTAGACACATGAAAATATGTCAAGAATGCAAGAAATAGGAGCAGGAGTAGACTACACAGCCCACTGATACAACCGATTCAATACGATCATGGCTGGCCTTTGGCTTCAAGTCTATTTTCCCGCCAGCTCATATCCTGAGATTCCCTGACACCAAAAATCTATCCAGTCCAGTTTGAAATATCTTCAATGACGCAGCATCCATAACTCTCTGAAGAGAATTCCATAGATTCATGACCATTTGAGAAAAGTAATTTCTCCTCATCTCGGTGCTAAAATGATCAGCCCTTACACCTAAACTGTGTTTTGGATTCCTTGACCAGTGGAAACAATCCTAGTGGCAACTCTATAAGACTCCTTCAAAATCCTATGTGACTCAATAACATTACCTGTCCTCCAGGGAATATAGAGACAAATTACTCAGGCTCTCATCATAAGTCAACCCTTTCATCTCAGGGACCAATCTAGTGAACCTTTGCTCTACTGTCTCCAATGCAGTTACGTGCTTCGTAAATACAGAAACCAAGGCATTATTCTGGTTATGGGAAGAAAGTGATGATCTTTTTGAATGGCGGAGCAGGCTAAAGGGTTGAATGGCCTACTCCTGCTCTATATTCTGTTTATTTTCCAAATGTGTTCTCTCTAAGACATTATATGACATAACAAGGCTTCCTAATTCCTGTACCCCAATCCCCTTGCAATAAAGACCACATGCCATTTCGCTTTTTAATCGTTTGATGTATCTTAATGCTGTTTCCACATTCTTAGCCAAGAATGTGAAGTCTTTTTGACATCAATACTTCACTACTTTCACATGTATTAAAATTTTTTCTGCTCACTCCTCCGACCAAAATGAATTATTTCACAGTTTCCCACATTACACTGCGACTGTCAACTTGTCGCTTACTCACGTAACTCATCGATATCTCTCCACGACCTCAATGTCATCCTCATGGATTACATTCCCAAAGAAATTTGTATCATTACCAAATTTAGATACTAAGGTTTCAGAGTAGATTTGCAGCTTGGGTTATGGATATTGTGGTTAGTTGGCTCGCCGAGCTGGTTCGTTGTTCCGCCGACGTTTCATTACCTGATTTCTGAAGGAGGATCTAGGCCCGAAACGTCAGCTTTCCGGCTCCTCTGATGCTGCTCAGCCTGCTGTGTTCATCCAGCTGTACGCCTTGTTATCTCCGTTTCATTACCCTGCTGGGTAACATCATCACTGAGGCTGCGCTGATGATGTTACCCAGCAGGGTAATGAAACGTCTGTGGAACAACGAAGCAGCTCGGCGAGCCAACCAACCACAACAAACTTAGATACAATACCTCTGTCTCTTTATCTAAGCCATTAATATAAATTATAAATCACTGATGCTCCAGCACCGTCCCTTGTAGCACTTCACTAAGCCACTGACAAGATCCAGGCACCAAAGGCTGCAGTCAGGTCTCAGAAGTCAGATCATTCAGCATTGTACCATTCACCTTGGCAGAAGAAGAGGGGCCAAACTGCCTAGGAAAGTGCAGAGGTGTGTTGGTGATCATGACAGCTGTGGAGGAAGAGATTCTGGAGTTGACTAGATATCAAGGTGGCCAGTCTTGGCAATGGAGAGGCTGGAGCTCCAGTTATGGAGGGGGAGTGTCTGAATGTCTCTGCCGGGGCTGAGAGGGATTGAGGGCAGCTGCATCCCTCTTTATGCTGCAAGCCGTGGTGCCTCTTTCAGTGTGAGCTTTAACAGTCTTAGCGCTGCCTTAATCTGTTGTGTCATGTGGTACTAATCATTCTGTTTTCTGCAACTGATCATTCAGTGGCCCCAGCAGCCAACTACCCAGAGGGTGTAGTCATTGATCTCTGAGGAGGAGAGGACCTCAGGGGTTACGCCCAATGTCTAAGCACCATCCATTGCCTCAGGTTAGTTGGCGGATGTGGGCACATTCATAGAATCCCTACAGTGTGGTAACAGGCCCTTTGTCCCAACAAGTCCACACCAACCCTTCCCCCTATAAACCCATCTAATCTACACATCCCTGAATACTACGGGCAATTTAGCATGGTCAATCCACCTAGTCTGGACTATGGGAAGAAACCGGAGGAAACCCACGCAGACACGGGGAGAATGTGCAAACTTGACACAGTTACCCGAGGGTGGAATCGAACCCGCGTCCCTGGCGCAGTGAGGCAGCGGTGCTAACCACTGTGCCACCCCCTATATATTATTAAATAACTAACAGAACTACAATCATAAACTGAAACTGTTCCCTCACTATCACAGCAATCACTAGTCCTGCCCTATTACTTTCTACATTTTGGCGGGATTTCCAAATTTGAAAGAAAGTGTTTAACGATTTGGCGCCATTTTTCTCCGCAGTCCTTGTCAGGCACGGTCACAGTTACAGACAAAAAAAACCCTCAAATGCTGGAATCTAAAGTAAACAAACAGGAGGCTGGAAGTAGAGCTGGAGGAAACGCCGAGAGAGGCAATGAACAGAGTTTTTATCGTGAATTTCTAATCTCTTGCATACAGGGAGCTCGTACTTCAATTATGTTTTGTGGTCACTTAAAATGTCAATTTATAATTTCACTACGCTTCTTGACTTTTAATTTATGTCACAAATTTGTTTCTCAGCCAGATTCAGTTCCTGCAATTACAGCTGAATTAACCCGGTGCAATAATAACAAGACATGGGAATATAACAACGAAGCGCACATCACGTATCAGTTCAACTCTCTCTGGATAGTTTAGTGGCTGTTGTCTTTCTCGGGGTCAATGTGCAGGGCCGGGCACGCTCCGTTTAGGCGCGGAACCGGCGGGCCAGCTGGATGTCTTTGGGCATGATGGTGACTCGCTTGGCGTGGATAGCACACAGGTTGGTGTCCTGGTAAGCCTCGCTGGCCTCTTGCAGGGATTGATTGATGCACATTCCATTCAGAATGAAACGCAACGAGAATGATGCATCATCTGCAGCTAAGTGAGAGAGCTAGTGGTGACATCAAATTGCTAAAAAAAAAATACAGAACTGCGATTACGTATATGTCAAAGATTAGATTCTAGAGATCAGCTAAACTTGACTAAAAGATTCTGAGGGAAAAATTAGGGTATTCGAACTAGCTTGAATTAAAGTATGAAATCGGATATAGACCTGGATGATGTGCTATGATGAGAAACGTGGTACAATCTTGGGAGAAGTTCAGTGAGGGCTCTCTTGATGTCAGAAACAACTCCTGCATCATTTAACTAAGTTCTGGTCTTTTGGTTGTGCGATCGCTAATTCTGTCTATCACTTGCTGATTACGACTTGGATGATGGGAGTGAATGTACTCTAGCCATGTCCGAGGATGATACAAAAATAGATGGAAAGGCAAATATGAGCGACACACACAGTCTAGAGGGATATGGACAGGCTAAGTGTGTGGTAAAAGCTTGACAAGATGGAATGTCATGTCGGAAAATGTGAGGTTATGCACTTCGGCGGCAAGGAGATGAGGGAGAAAAATTGTGATAGCTGCAGTGCAAACAGATTTGAAAGTCTGAACATAAATCATAAAAAAAAATTCATGTTCAGAAGGTAATAGGGAAGGCAAATGGAACACTGGTCTTCATTTCAAAGGGAATGGAGTCTAGAAAATAGGGAGTTCCTGCTCAAATATAAAGGCACTAATCAGTCCACAGCTGAAAGACTGAATGGTTTTGGTCCCCTTATCTAAGGACAGATATACTATCATTGGAGACAGTCCAGTTAAGGTTCACCAGATTGATCCCAGGGATTTTCTTATGAGGAGAGATTGAATAGGTTGGCCTGTATGTATTGGAGTTCAGGAAAATGACAGGTAACATTACTGAAGGATCCTTAGGAGTCTTTTTACGTCTTTTTACAAGGTAAATGTGGAAAGGTTGCATCTCCTGGTGAAAAAGTATGGGACCAGACAGTGTAATCTCAGAATAAGTGGTTGCCCAGTTAGAACAGGGATGAGAAGGAATTTCTGCTCTCAGAAGCTTGCGAATTTGTGAAATTCTTTACCATAGAGTGCTGTTTGGGCTGGGTCATTAAGTATATTCAAGAGAGATCTTTAGTCAGTAAGGGCATCAACCAGATTCTGGGGAAATGGCAGGGAAGTGGAGTTGAGAATTATCAGATCAACTATGACTTCTGTGAATGGCAGAGCAGACTTGATGGTCTGAAAGGTTGAATATTAATGCTTTCATAGAGAATGTGCATTATGCTAAACACTTGACTAAACTCAACACCAATGTAGGATGTCGTAAATTGAGTTTGTAGAAGAATCGAGGTGTCCTACATTATTTTCCATTCACTTTATTTAAGAATCAATATTGGATTAATTTAGCATCTGAGATATT